GATCATAATATATTATTGTTGCAACATGTTGAAGAAACGCTCTTTGACACTTTTCTGTTACAAAATAACATACAGCAATTTTAATGGTTCTATGATAAGTGATAGTTTAAATATATATCTTGCTTCGAAACATATAAGACACTCAAAGTGCAATTTGGGAAATTTAACTTTCGGCACGTTTCAATAAAGCCCCACAAAAGCCAAAATAGAGAGCATAGTAAAACTACATTACAGAGCGCAGTTATCCACAGAAATAAATAACTAATATAGTTAAAAAATGTTCACAAGGACAACCGAAATAGTTGAAAAGAACCTAGCCGTTTTGAAATGAATGAAAATATGGAACGAAACCACCGAAGCGAAAATGAAGGAGAAGATCCATTTCAGTACGTGTCCTTTTGCGTCAACCGATAGCCTTTGAAAGGCTTCAACCTTATTTGTTGCAGTCTGGCATCAAATGTTCAACAAACACAAACATTGTGTTGACGGGACTTAACTTCTCCGTGATGCATAAGCTCCTCGTGTTCATATCATTTCATTGCTTGAATTTCCATGCATTTTTTTCTCGTGCTGATTCGTCATTCTGAAATAAATAAACAATCAAATATGTAAATTATAAACATCGACGGTCTATGAAATCGGATTCCCGATACGGGTGAAAACTAAGAACATCGCGGAGTTCAGTTACATGTGCAAGATCTTGAAAAATGATAAAACGTCGTAAAAGGAGAAGAAATGGCACAGAACTAATTACAACTATCATTATTCATTAAATTGTATCTTAATTGCGAAGTGTAAGAAAATTTTCCCGAAAATGTCGTAAACGATTTTATATTCAAAGAAGTCTTGAAAGGGTTTAGAACATCGTGTAATGAAAGTAGCTTTGTCTAATTGACTTTGCAATCCTCCATCGATCTTAGAAGAAGTTAAACGAGTAACATAATACTACAAATACACATCGATGTAATTTTACCTGCGGTTTCCTCTTCGTCGCTCAATTCTTCGAAGGAATATTTCGGTTTACTGTGCGATTCCTCCTTCGCGTTAAGCTCATCTATAAACGAAGGAACAATAACATTTAGCCTTCAATCGCGCAACAAAGAGCGCAACAGTAAAAACGCAGCCAAGAATAGAATATATATGCACTGCCTTACCCTTCATTGGCGCGTCAGGGGGTGAGTTCGCTGCAGGCCTTGTTAAAAGGCACCCAAAAGAGAATGCTATCGCTTGAAATTTCTCTTGGTGAGTCTTTCCTTCGAAGAGCTTTGCGACTTTGGGATCCATTGCGTTTGGAATAACGAGGTTGGTGAGGTATGGAAATCGTAAAACCTTTGACCATGAATACTTGAGAAGGGAAAAAACCCAGCAGCCCTCTTGTCTAAAAAGGGAAATTTTCCACCAATCAGGATGTCCGAAGTGACGTGGAGCTTTTGTTTCATTGACAGAACTTGTCACACGCGTTGTGGAGCTTAAAATATCAATCAATCAGAATGCGACGCTTTAGATAGCTGGAAAATTGCGTGACCATGACAAACAGAAAGCAATTAAATGTTGAGCGTCTTAAACAAAAGTAGACTAACATCTACTGAAAGAAAATAAAGGACGACGCTGATTTCTCACGCGATGAAATTAAAAGCTGAACAAAGCAATATACCCCAAGGCCATTTTGCAAAGTGCGGTTTCAACTCTCAAATACACAATGGCCAAAAAAGGAATAATTCTTGCTTCAATTGTGATTCTATGATGTTCAGACAACAGAATTCACGATGTAAAGATAACAGATCCCGTGCACAAAGAGGCGTCAAAGACATTGATATACATTTCTCGCCACCTTGGCGCTTGCAGAATGACAGATTGTCACTTAAGCTGTGGGGTGCGTCATCATTAGCACTTCTTAAACTGCATCACAAGCACATATTTTGGCCATGAATCATCTCGAAAGTGCTTCGCTAGCGCGTTTTCTAGTAAACCTCGAAAGTGCTTTGCTAGCGCGTTTTCTGGGAAAGCGAAAAAA